AACTTTAGTTACACCTCAATCTCAACCATCCCCTCTTCTATTGCTAGTGCTAAATTAGAAATTTAGTATCCAAAATGGATTAAATATCAAACTAATCTTCTCTATTTAATTCTAAACCCTGAAAACTAGGTAAGCCTTGACCACCCTAGTAGGTTTAGGCTGCAGAAAATTTTGTCTAAGTCTCTATTCTTGACATCCTTTGGTTATGAAGTTCATATGTAATTTCTTTCTTGTAAATTCTCTTGTAAAGAAATTCAATTGATTTTCAATAAAGTTAGAGGCATGGCCTCACCTTTAGATTCAAAACAAAAAAAATTATTTATAACTAATTTGCTAAATACTGAGATAATTTTTTATCTTTGAATTTTAATTAAAGTTGACATAATTAAATTCTATTCATCCCGTCTTATAAGTGAAAAGAATAATACCGTCTCCGAAACACATAATATCAAAGTTTGCTAATATTATAACCAGTTAATAACTGGTAATTAATAACCAGTTACGATGCTAACAAAATTTAAAAGTCTGAGTTTTAGAAAAGCTATTATTCTTTCTACGGGTTACCCCCGTCAATATCAACCCGTTTGAATTAGACAATTATGTTGATATGTGTGAGGGTTGATAACAACGGAATAGTTTTATATAGCCTAAGCCTATTTTTTCTTAATATGAGGTTGACATTAACGGGCGGTTGATATTAACGGGGGCAACATGTACTTATAAGATAGGATGAACAGAATTTACTTCTGAACAATAATTAAAAGCTCAAGAATAAAAAATCATCTCAGTATTTAGAAAATTGACTATGAATAATCGTGACCATTTGTAATTGAACCCATCCCTCCATAATCTCTATCGAATTCTTGAAGTTTTTGCACTTTACTTCTATAGTGCCAATGCCTTATTAGTCGTGACAAATCAAAATTCTTTTTGTGTAATATCTATATTTAAAAAAACTCTAGTCTTATTATATAATTAGAATAGTTCTCAACCACAAAAATTAAAAAATTATGCGAATGTTAAAAAATATAGAGGTATAAAGAAATATATAAAAATATAAACAAGAAAAAAAAGAATAGAGAAAAATAAAAAAATGTGATTTTTCATTTATACCAGATAGTTACAATTATAAGCCTGTTTTTATTTGTTTGCATGCTATATAGACTTCAATTGATGTCACGTGAAATTTTCATTCCTTAATTTCGACAATGTGGTGTGAAATTTTACTTTGTCAAGGCAAAAGAGAGAGGAATTCAATTGATAAACTGCATAAGAGGTCAGTCAATGACTTGATAGCTTTGATGGAATCTCATGTAAGATAAAACTTTTCAGGCTTCAGAATCGCGTGTTTTAGTAAAAATATCACCAATATAAAGCGTCCACTGTCATATCTAATACCGATATCAACAAATTCTATTTATTATGTATTTAAGCTAAACTTGTCACTGAATTAATACTAATATAGCGTTCTAAGCTTATGTTCTGTAGTTAGTGATTGGTTTTTTATACTGTTCAAAGCGTCCATTAGTAAAAATTTTCATATGGAACACTTTCATTTAGGTCATAGAAGAGGATCAGCATTTTTGTTCGTTATATTTAATCTTAAAAAATTTGATTGGTCAAAATTAGTTTCACCAAGACATTATTCTTTATTATTTACCAAAATTCAATCCTTGAAAATCCGATCGTTTACATATATATTTACATTAAAGTCTTGGCATCAATTTAATTGTTAATGCATTATGTATCGCCGATCAGAAGGTTGAGTCCAGTAAATAATGAGGGGTATATGTAAAAGAGTTTAAAGGTAACATTTATAATATAAATGGACTATTTTATAGGAAAGTACGTACATACATACTTTATAGGAAATTTGTCAATGCATTTCTTATTAATAAAGGGCATTTACACAATCGATCCTAAAACTAGTATACTTAAATCCTATCGATTATTCGTTCATACTTTAATAGATCACAGCACAATGTGCTTACGTGGCACCCTATTATTAGTTGAGGTAATAGGGTTTAGCATGGTTAACTATTAACGTATCAGATGCATTTTTACCACAGCTACAATTATAAGTTAGTAAAGGTCGAGTCTTATGATTTTCTGTGATCTTAAAGAATAAATATAAAGTTTTAAATACAAAAAACAAAATTCATAGGTTTTTGTTCATGTTCTAAGCACATCTCCGTCTAACACTGCTTTCAAATAAGGATTTGCCTAGTTCATTATTCAAATTTAATTATAGCAGTTATTACAGTATTAAAAAATGGTCACTATACAACTGTAATTCAAAAAAAGTTTCATTATTAAAATTTTTATTATAATAAAAATATCTATAACTAGACCTTAAAGGTCATTGCTATATACTATTATAAATATTTTAATCGGGTTTAATACCTATACTACATATTATACATTTTAAAAATTCAAATAAACCCAAGACATATTACAGTAATATTACAGTCATATTACAGTCATATTACAATATTATACACCATTCACCATGGACTTTATAATCAACCATGACAAATAAAGAAACTACGAAAGTTCCACTTCAGTGTCGTTTGAACCGTTATGATCTGGTTCAGAATCCTGTAACGTTTCGCTTTCCGTGTTTTCTGTACTTTCAGAATCTTTTTCAACATTTATTGATTTTGTGGCTTGATTATTTTCTTCAAGATCTTTTTGTTCAACATCTATTGATTTTGTGGCTTGATTATTTTCTTCAAGATCTTTTGATTTTTTTCGATTATTTATACAAGAATTAAATAGTCTATGTTTGTATTTGTATGTTATTATACTTGAAACTAATAATAGGAGGACAAAACTACAACTAACAAATACAATTATAAGTTTTTGAGATTGAGATAGTTGTGGAATAGGAATTGAAGGTGAATTTGGACCTTCTGGATTTGGTG